GGAGGGTGGTATTGTGGGCTCTGGAGTGATCCTCCAACCAGACAGGCCCCGGGCAGGTGATGCTCCTGTGCCACCTGGAGTGGTTTGAGCGGTGTGACCACTGTGTTTTTTCTCACGTTTCTTAGTGAATTGCTTCTGACCATGCCGGTTACAGGGTTGGTTCCCCCCTCCACCTTGCTGCTTCCTGCATTTATGCTCTTGAGACTAATAAGAATTTGATATCTAAGTTTCTTAGGGAAAAGGAAACTACAGTATTTTCTTTCATATTGTTTTACGGGTTCCTTGCACTTTTACAGCATGACTGTGGGAAAATGTCAAGTTCGTGAAAGCAAAATAGTAAAACTTTTGTCTTAAGATTCTTACAACCCGTGATGTTAAGTCTCCATTGTGGAGATTCTGTCACTGTCCCAGGGCCAAAGAGGAGATAAGGATATTAAAGCTATAGCACATGGGTGTAAGAAGTATTATAGGATTGAACGACTAAAGTATAAAAATCAGCGAGGAAGCTTGGGAATGAGGCGTGTGTGAGAGTGTGTGTGTGTTTTCCTTGAGAATAATGTTCTGGCTAAGTTCACAGCAGATGTAAGTCACTTTCTTGAGCTTGTAAGGTCCGTGGGATTGACAGCACCCTACTGCAGTTGGATATTGTACGTGGGGCTTCTTAAGGCTTTGACAGAAGTTAATTTCCTGAAGTATTTCCTTTGATTTTTCAGGCACAAAATGAAGACAACAATTTAGTGAGTAGCACACAAATTGGCAGCCAGGTTCCTTTAAGGAGAAACAAAAAAGACCACAGAAGGTGGTAGAAACATCTGTAAAATTGTTCGGCCTTGTGGTGATTGAGCTTGCCACATGGCTTTTGAGTATTTTCCTGTTCTGAGATTTCTGTTTTAATGATTATCTTTCAGGTTGGTTGGAGCCTGAGTTGATTACGTTTCTTTCAAGGCATGTTTAGTAGTTGCCTGTGGTTGAATCCTGAGGCCCTAGGGATGGTTGGTTATGTACCATCTGGTGGAGAACACCCAACAGCACTAATCTTGGAACTACAATAGGAACTCTTAGTTTCTAATTCAGTGCCCGCCCAGTGGACCCTCCCATTTTCTCACCTGGGTTCATCTGGTGGGGGTGGGAGCACTTAGATTTTATAGTATCTACGTGGAAGTGGAAAGAAGTTACAATGGACATGTTTTGATGACTCCTCCGTGGTCCCCATGATTGAGAATAAAGAAACAGATGACTTGACATCAGGACCTCTAATGAGATTCATTCCTACTTTGGGTGAGAATGTAGTCCTCAAGGACATAAGCCTGTCTCATATTGTTAATTGCTCCCAGAAGGGTGTATTTGAAGGAAAGCAAACTCTTATCTCTGTCTGAAGTCACTGAGCTCTGATACGTTTATGGCAGAAGCAAGTGCTCCAGTTTTAAGGATGAGAAATTCAAAGGTTAAAGGAGCTGGAACGCCTTACATTTCTATTATCAAACAATTTTTTTTATGCAAGCAGTTATTTCTCTTGCTTCTAGGGTAAACACGGTTGAAGCATATTGCAGCACACTTGGGAAAAGTAAACCGAACATAAAACTTTGTCTTTTGAAGTAATTTGCACAGATAAGATGTACTCCCATTAAGGGGTTATTAGGGTGACAAAGGTTCAGTAGCTCTAGTTACTTTGAAATGTCCATGGTTTTAAAATTGTTCTTAGGCCCTCAAATTTAGTGGGGGGACTGGATTTAGCTCAGCCTGAAGCAAGAAGAGCCAGGTTCCACCTAGTGCTGTGGTTCCGAGCAGGGGAGGGAGACAGATCTCAACCACGCTCTCAGTTCACCTGGTTCAACTTTACCCTCAGTGGGTGGCATGACACTTAATCCACAATCTGAAAACTAACCGAATACCATCAACTGCAAAACTCACAGAACAGCGTGAGTCAGAAGAGGAGTCATCTTCTGTTTAAATAATGAATTCATCTGTGTGGGATATATTTAAAGACCTGAACCTTGTTTCCACATAATTTGCCTTGTGCGTTTGTGTTAGTGGTGTAAAGATACACCTTTCAAAAACGGTAACCAAGTGTCAATTTTTAATCTTCAAAGTAAAGAGAAGCTTTATTTTCGTTTATTGCTCAGTAAAATAAGTCAGACAGAAAAAGTTAAGAACCATTATGATTTCACTCATACGTGGGATATAAAATGGAAAGCAATGAGTGAGCAAACAACAAAAACAGACGAAAACTCGTCGACACAGACATCGGCACGGTGATTACCAGAGGGAAGGGGGCTGAAAAGGGTAAAGGGGGTCAAGTATGTGGTGACGGAAGATGATTTGACCTCGGGTGGTGGGCACACAGTGCAATATACAGATCATATATCCTAGAAATGTACACTTGAAACCTATATAATCTTATTAACCAATGTCACCCCAATACATTTAATAAAAAGAAAAAAAATACAAAAAAAATAAAGAGAAGCTTTAATATCTGTTCGTTCTTTGGTTATGTTACACTGTGTGTGGTTTTGTGGAGTTAACATTTTTGGCACAGAGTGGTTACCGTAGATAAACTCATTTAAAAATTGTAACATTTAAGATATCATATTTGTTTTGGTACCAAAAGGCTCCATCCATCTCCAGCTCAGGTATGTTCACAGAATGGGTCTGTAGATGACAAATTGATGTTACCAGAATTTGCCAGAACTACCGACTGTGAGAACAGCACTTGATTTTCATTTCAAATGCACATAAACAGAGGAAACTGCCAAATTTTGAGGGGTGAACCAAAGTTGAGATAGGAAGAAAGAGCGCCAGGTAGCTCGTTCCAAACAGAAGGATATCTTATACATGTTTTATTTGTAAGAAAGTCAGCCAGGGTTTTGGATCTGTATGATGTAAACAGATTACTTAATAATCTCCTATTTCGCAATCGGGGAAAGGAGCAAACTCCACCTTATCCTTTGAGATAAGGCCTTGGCTCTGCGGGGCTAGGTCACTCCCCAGCAAGCCTTGGCAACTCTGACGTTACGAGGAGGGGCCTTTTCTTAACAGCAAGTCTAACCAGCCACTCTGGAAGCATGAAGTCCAGAGAGACAGTATTGGCTGAAATGTGTCTCCACTTCTGAGGTCCATGCGAAGCTGAGGCCAGAAGGAAGTGAGCTCTCATCCGTCCAAATGGAAGAGTAATTATGCAGATTCCCAGGTCTACTGGATGGATATTAAGAGAGTATTGCTGAAAATGCATGGAATTCTCCCGGAGAAATACTTTTAGGGAAGTAAAAGTAAAAAAAGAAAAAAATAGGACACTATTTGGAGCAGAATAAATATTTACCAAATATTTGTTAAAAGAAAGAGTGAATAAATGAGTATGTAATATAAACCAATAAAGCCTATGTAGAATTACTTTATAGACTACTCTAAAATCTTTAAGTTTTTAGTTAGAAATTTGGTTCTCAGGAGTCTTGGTCAAATGAGGTAACCTAGTTTCT